CATTTTTTCAGTCTGTCAAGGCCTTAAAACATCAGTACCTGTGCCAGGTTTACCCAGGAACTGATATCTGAGGACATTTTTTTTAAATACTCCAAAAGTATGTATGCATTTGTTTTGTTATGTTTCTATGGATTAATCACTTACTTTTGATGATTCCTAGTACAGGAATTACTTATCTTTATAAATTAATTCCTTTGTGTTCAAAATGTGGGCCTTGCCTGTCCACAGAGATATGTGAATGTTACAGTCATAGAACTATACATAAAACATCGAGATAATATCCAACCAGATAAATTACAAAGCCTCGGCCCATTTAGCGATTTCAACCTCTTAGTCAAAAATGGGCCAAAATAAAGAAGTCTTGTCATTTGGCTGAAAGAGGCTTCATGACAGTTTTTGTCAAGACAGTGGGAAAGGAATTTGCAAATGGAATGGCAGTTCCATGGTCATTATATTGCAAACATTGCACATCAAACTACTGGTCTGAAGTTCAAGTGCAGCACTGTCAACCAATAAGCAAATGGTGGTTGTTTGGCTATGGTTGTTTTTGCATAGGAACCAAAGGGATATCTAGCAATTTACAAAAACTGACATGTTTTTACAGATGGAAAGACCAATATACTTGGGATTTTAAAATGGTAACAGGCACAAACCTCCTGCTATCTTTAAGATCTATAGTTAAACTTTTAATCTATTTCATTTCCCAACTGATTTAAGAGAGATTATATGAGCCAGATGACAGGAATGCCGTCTTAGAGTAGTTTACATAGAAATGCAGGGGTGGGCTGCTCAATTCACCTCTGTTCTAAATTCCCATTCCCTCTATGTCTACAAAACAGTATTTATTGGTTTGATTATTAAAGTATATGTTATTTATTATTAGATTATATTTATATCCTGCCTTTCTACCTCTTTCAAGGAACCCAAGGCAGCTTACAAAGTTCTTCCTTCTATATTATCCTCACAAGAATAATCATGTGAGGTATGTTAGGCTGAGAGTCAGTGACTGGCCCAAAGTCCCCAGTCCAACACTGTGGCCACCATACCACATCCTTCATTTTGTGATGAGTCCATACCAGCTGGTCCCAGCTGGAGCAGGAGTCTGCTCTTATCTTCATCTGCCTTCTTCTCTGGCCTGGATTTCTCCCATGGAAATGGTTAATGGTATGAAAGGACACAGTCCAGCTGGAACAAGGGAAGGCATCTATATTGTCTTCACTTCCCTCTCTCATTGTTGGAGATGGTCCTGTGTGGAGGGAGAGCACAATCCAGCCAGAATTAACCACAGTTTTCTCAGTGTTTGCAGAAGAATTGGACATTTGGGCAATATTTGAATTTTGATGAATAGTGGCAAGCTGTTACAGAAAGGCATATTTAATTGTAACAGAGATGGGGTACACCTAGCACCAACCTCTGTCCCACACATAGTAAGGAACATCTCCCCAAACTCCCAGCAATTCTGAGTGAGAAGCATCATGTGTTTTCAAGAGGCAGAAAGTTTCTAACCATTTACATCTGTCACTAATGATGCTGAAAAAAAGAGAGTCAGATGGCATCATAAGAGAGAGAGAGAGAGTCAGATGGCACATTGGTGGGGCTTGGGGTGGGAAAGGGATGAAAATATATAATTTAGCACTAATAAACTGAAATTACAATTTTTCACAGAGAAGCATATCTGCCTCTTAAAAAAAGCATTGTAGTTGATCAGTAGAAGACAGATGGAACGCTCAGACATAATCTCCAAACTAGTTACAGAGCAGAAAAGGGAGACTTCTTATCTCTACTTAGTTATCACACACTTCCAAGGTATTTGCCACGGTAAAGAATAGGATACTACCCCCCAAAAAAAACAAAACAAAACAAAACAAAACAAAAAACCGGGATTCCCAGGCTCTTGAGCTTCTTTCCAACATCACTGGGCAGGATCTTAGAATAAACAGATCACTTGCTATATGTTGTGTTCTTCTCTGTCATTCAGTTTTAGATGTTTTAATTGTGATGTAGGGAAAAAAGTAGCCATTTGTTCTGTAAAGCAATACATGCACTAGAGATCCTTAGGTCATCACTTTTAAATTATTTTTTCTAAGTAATTTTATCCTAGCACGTTGCAGGATTGATTTCAGTTCTGTTGATTCTTTAAAGGCATATGGATTAAAGTTGAATAGCGAGATTGGAATGCAGTGCATAAGCATTTGGTAAAGATATTATTCTATTTTTAATTGAGATTGCCAGGTTTTAGCCTTGAATGGGAGACCCAGTCTTTGGTGCTCTTTCTCTTGGCTGCCGACTGGTCCACCAGCATACCTGTGCACACCTTGAAGTCATCTCTCATCCCTGTCTGCAGCATGGTGGGCCAAGATCTCAGAAGATATAGAAATGTGCTTTCAGAATTTCAACTCAAGAACTGCAGCAGCGGAAGCACCAGAATACACACACTTGTTGTTTTGCCAGCTTTTAGATTCTGGCATTTTTCAGAGGAAAATAAACTAAATATTCAGTGTGCAATCAGTGAATTCAGGAATAATGCATAATGCCTGGGAATAAATGGGCAACATACTGTATGTGTACTTAAAAAGGTTGAGGAAGAATGAACCATCCAGAAAATCTGCTGAACTCTCTCCAACCTTAACACTATGCAACAATGTACCATAAACATGTCATTCTCTCCATGGGAACTAACATGTTTTTATTGGATAATGCATGAAATAATGTTGAAAGAGAATTAAATTGGTGACAGACTTATATACCCTATGAAGATTCAACTGACACACACACACACACGCACACACACACACACACACACACAAGTGTAAAAGGAGAATCAGTCTAAACATATGAAGCAGTTTATAGTGAGTCAGACCGTTGGTCCATCTTAGTTAGCCTTATCTACCCTGATTGGCAGTGAGGCTCCAGCATCTCTTATAGAGAGGAAGAACAACCCAGTCTGTGCTGCCTGAAATCGCTTAAATTCTATATGCTTCGGACTTAATCTGGCAGTATGCAAAGCATGTGCCACCTTTGCCACTGAGCCAGGACTTCTCCCCATTGCTGAGACCTCTTAGTGAAATGACCCAGGCTTGCATCAACACCTGAAAGGGCTTGCATAGCATCACAAGGTTTCTGGGGCATTACTGGAGGATTAAAGGTCCTTAGGATATGGTACGCCTGTCCATTCCTCAACACCCACCCTTTTCTGCTCTTCTGCAGTTAAAACACCTGACTTAACCAGCAAAGCTAGGATTCCTCTTTTTATTTATTTACTTTTGTTCACCTTTTTTTGGCCTTTGCTACATTTTTGTTAATTTTTCAATGCGTTCATTATTTTAAAGAGAATCCCCATTTTTAAATTTGTGCCATACTGCCAACAGATGAACGACTGGAAATGTAATTACTTCAAAACTCCAGTATTGATAACTATATTATAATTGAGGTAAGAGGAATTTTGGAAAGGCAAAACAGTGGGTATGAAAATAAAATCAAGTCAAATTAGAAAATATATAAAATGCTAAAGAAAAGACTCTGAATTTTTTTTAAAAAACTAACTTTGAAGAATTTACAAAATCAGCTTGATTAATTAAACATTTTATGTCAGTGAATAGAAAATTCATTTTGATGGTAAAATACCAACAGACTCTGTTAGACAGTGGTACTTTGGTTCACGAACTTAATTCATTCCACGATCCTGGTTGTGACCCGAACTGGTTATGAGCCAAGTCAAATTCCCCCATAAGGTTCAATGTAAATAAAGTTAAACCAGTCTGACCCCTACGAATGTGGTCACGAACTGATTTTGGTCACAAAACAAGTCAAATTTGCCCATAAGGTTCAATGTAAATAAGGTTAATCTGTTCTGTAATTTTTTTAATCACAAAATTTGAAACAAAGTAACAAAGAACAACAAAGTAACAAAGTACAGTGCAGTAGACAGCACTAACCTAGGTGGGGAGGGGGAGGTTATTGTTTGGAGGGAGAGTCCCCCTCCATAAGGACATCGGGGAGATCACCTTCAGGAGTTTCCTCTCTTCTTTGTCTCTTAGCTGCAGGGTCAATTTTGGCAAAAAATCTGCATGTTCAGGTCACCTTCATTACTGTTCGGGTCACTTTCATTACCACTCTGCACATTCTTTTTAACAACATGCTTGCTCTGCACTTTCTCTGGAGCTATTATTCAATATTATTATTGAATACTTTACAGTACTTTATCTGCTAAAAAGCACACAAAAAGGCTTCACAGCAAATGACCACAGGCCTGTCTATGACTGCGAGTGGGGAAGATGGGCACAATCATGCTCATCGTGTGGGCAAGATGGCCGCAATCACAAGAACATGGCCACGATTGTGGTCGTCACCCGATGCAGAGTCCGCAAACGGAGGCAATTTTTTTCCAAAATTTTTGTTCATGAACCGATTTGGTCGTGAATTGAGGCGTTTGTGAACTGAGGTACCACTGTATACTCTTGGCATTATCCAGTCAAAGGTAAGCATTTTTAAGACATAGATTTTAGTGGGAGAGTTATATACATGCTTAATTCTCCCATTGACATCAGGGTGGTAAGAAGGGCTTTATTTTGACTTGATAGTTCTCTGACACTAGGAACGTATTACATTATAGGAATTTAAAATTTACAGTTAGCCTGCAATAATATGCTAAAGAAGCTGGCATAGGCTGGTACCCAAATGGAAATCTTTTGGAAAATATGCATATAAATTTGTAAATTGAGTACATTCAAATGCTGCAGTATGGTACAAGCAATTTTTGTACTTAGGAGTAAATGAATGCCATCTATGAAAATAGAGTTAATATTATTATGTGTGGAAGATGAACATTTGCAAATATTGTTGTCATTGGCTTTTATGCTGGTTACTTCAAGAATACATTCAAACACTGACAGGTTAATTACATGTTCCAAAGTTTGTTTATGTGATCTGAGAAGAATGTGTTATTAAAGCACATGCATCTGCATCTAATAGATTTCCACTGTTCTTATATTTTCTTTTAGCTTATTACACCTCATGCAATCAGAGTTCAGACACCGCCCCGACACATCCCTGGCGTGGTAGAAGTTACATTGTCCTATAAATCCAAGCAGTTCTGTAAGGGTACACCTGGAAGATTCATCTACACAGGTAAGGCTGCTTGAATTTTAACACAACATTTAATGGGAAAAGATATGCTTTACCTTGTCTAATGCTGTTTCTTTTAGACTGAGTTTTACCCTGATGTGTTTTCCTAAATTAGAGCAGATACTTCTACCACAAAGATATGTTTTCCTTTTTACAAATTGATATTTATGTGAAAATGATTTTTACATGTTACTTACATGAAACACCCACACATGTATTCAACAGGAAAGTTTTTTGGTCATATATTGACTGCCAACTTCTGGATATGACATGCCCTTTCTCAATTCCATGTCATCTTTTATGTGAATGAATAAGAACAATTACAAAATGCTAGGAAAACAGTTATATGCATTGGTCTTTTAGTGACATATCTTTCAGAACTATGGTTTCTATTATTTTCTAGATGTGAAAAGAAAGTCAGTATATATTTGTATAATGTAAATGAACACTTTAATTTATTTGTGTGATTTGTTAATTTGTATCCCATCTTTCCATAAAATGGTGCTCAATAGAAATACAATTAAATATAATCAAATGCAATCAAGAGCTCAAGTCGTATGGTGGTGAGAGTGTTGAACGGGAACTTAGGTAATCCAGATTCTTGTCCCTGCTTGGCCATGAAGCTCACTAGGTGACTGGGCCATTTGCTGATTCTCAGGGTTGTGAGGATCAACTGTATATGAAGACAAATGTGTAAGGAAAACTGGCAGGATATAAATGTAAAAATATATACAATCAATTAATATGCATAAGTAATTAAACAATACAATGCAAAGTAATAAAACCAAACAGGTTAAACATCACCAATATTAACCAAAGTGAGAAGCTAAAACTAATTCTCACATGTTTTTCAAGTCAGATTATGGGCCCCAGCCTATATTACAAAAATGCTTTTCCACTGCTGTTGGAAACTCACAAAAAAGTGGGCCAACTGGGCTTCCTTTGGCAAGTTGCTCTAGAGCAGAGGAGCAGGTACTGAGAAGGCTCTTTCTCATGGTCTCATCACTGATACCTCAGATGTTGGTGTGACATCTTAAAGCCCAGGAAGGTTCACACGAGGGGCTCTGGCCATTCTTGTAACCTGGATCCAAGGCATGTAGGGCTCAGTAAACCATAACCAGCATTACAAAGAATGTATGAAAACACAGTGGTAGCTAATTAAGCCATGGGAGTTGCATTCTACTCAGAATTTCTCTAGCGTTTTGAAACAGCTGAAGCTTCTGAACAGTCTTCAGAGGCACTTATGCACAGATCACATTACAGTTGTCTGAATGTGATACAGCTAAGGCTTGTCTGATTGTGGCCACATCCCAACATTTCCAAGAATGGGCATAGTTGGTGCATGAGCCTTAGCTGTGCAGAAGTGCTTCCAGGCTTTGCTGAAGGCTGAGCATCCAGATTCAAGACTGAAGAGTACATAAAAGCTGCAAACCAGAGTCTTCAAAGAGTGTTAAAGACAGCTTAAACCCCTCCTCGCAGATCCACTTTTTGACTAATCAGAAGCACCTTTAATTTCTTTGCCTTTAATCAGTTCAGTACATTATTGACAGTGGACACAGATTCACAACTAGAACAGCTTTCTTGGATGTTGTTGGAAAGGAAAGATCGTATTAGTTTTGGCATCCTGTTTGAGTCTTCTAGCCCCAGTTTCTGAAACTATGCCTCCAAGAAGGACCAGAACCAAACTAAAACATCACCAGCCAGGTTATTCAGCGGTATACTATAATGGTATCAAAACAACAGAGAGATTCAGCAAAATCCACCAGGATAAAAGCAGTTCCTGTCATATAACCAGGCCTAAAGCCAGATGTAAACAAATCTAGATAACTCATCCAGGAACACCTGAAGCTAAGATACATACTCAAGCAGCTTGTCCAAGAACAGAGTACTGGAGATTGACTATAAATTATCCAGGAATGTGGGGTTCTGGGAGGGGTTTTTTATGAATAAATACATACTTCACCATCATCTCCTATAGGGAGGTTTTTATTTCATTTTTCTTATTACATTTCTATACTGCCCAATAGCTAAATGCTTCTTAGTACTCTACAAAGGCTCAAAAACTTAAAAATATAACTTGTACGTAATATAAAAACCATTTTAATAACAAATATAAACAGACAACAGTCATGACAAACAACCCTGGGTGTTACCATAGTTTTTTTACCTCACTGTGCCTGTCAGTGATGTACCATGCTGGTACGTCTCCTCCTTCCAGCCAACTCCTTCCCTCTCAGTCCTCCAGGAAATATGCCAGGAGACACCACGGCAAGGAATGAGCCTCCTCTCTTTGACAGCTGTGATCACGAGCTTAGTTCAGCACAATGAGGCTGTCTAGCAGTCCCTGCTATGCAGACAGGGTCCATGCAGCAGAGAAGATGAGGGAAGTGATCAGGCACCCTCACTCCTGCTCCAGAGAGGCCCACTGGTGTGGTGGGGGAGTGCTTGATGCATGCTCAGGCAAAAGGGAAGGGGATCAATTGGGGGGCACTGCAGAAAAGAGGAGTTGATTCCCCCACTGCACCCTGCATGTTTGCTGGAGCGTCAGCACCACTCAGTTGCTTGCCCTTCTTTCCTGCTTTCTTGTTCTTGCATTGCAAGAGAGGCATCCCCAAACCTTTCCAGAGAGGGATGTTACTGGGTCACCAACCAAATTTTATAGGTTCATGCCACTGAGACCTTCTGAATTTCATGGGCTTAAGGAGAACCCCCAGGCAACCAATCTGCTTCTTCAACGGGAGTACAGCCCCATCCAAAACAGGTTGAGGACTGTCCATTTGGACAGAAGCACCACTCTAACAGAATTGCAGTCTTACCAACTGTCAGGACTAGACCCACTTCTCCTAAAATTCAGCCTTCCAAAGTCATTGTGTCAGATTCAGAATCAGAGGTGGAGCAAAGAGGTAGAATTCTTAGCTGAGTTGCCAATGCCAGCAAGCCCAGAGATATGGCAAGGGCCTTGGGAGAACCAAATCATGTCTAGTTCTCCAGATGATTCTTTTGAACAAGTAGAGTTAGATAGGGGTACACTTAACATCATTAGTGTGATCATATGGTGTCAGATCAAAAGGGCAGACTAGCTGAATAGTGCCAGACATTCCCCCTGATTGATTGACCCACAAGCAGCATGAACTGCCCTGAAAGTGGTGTTAGCTCCTTTTGGTCATTAAGCTGGATTTGCCTAGTAGCTAGTTTTCTAACTTCCCTGGTGTCTTTCGTTAATGTTTTCTGAAATACTCCTCTTTTGCATCACAATTCCAGCCTAGCTGGCCAGTTTTAACTGAATAAAGACTTTATTTAGAAGCCTTTTGTCCTATCTACTTGGAAAGAGTCTGGATACAGGGTGGTTGCGGTGGGGGAGCGGGGAGGAAGAGTGGCTTGTGATATCAGGATTGAGTTTCAGATTATTAGTCCTTACTCAATCCATTGTCTGAATGGACATTTCACAGCTGACCAGCTTTTCATAGTTTATCAGCTTTTCCTAAATTGCACATATTTCATGAATTTAGGCATACAGAAATATTAAAAATGAGAACAAAAATCCTTGTGCCTTTTCAGAATTGTGAATTTGGCCAAGTGTGAATTTGTACACTGTTTCTGCCTGTGAGCAGATGATGGACAGAAGGTGTCTGGCAATTTGTGGAGATGGAATGGATTTAACAAAGTCCATACATCCTAACCACAGCATACATTTTCCTTTTATCTGTACAATCCTATGCATGTTTATTCAGAAGTATTCACAATGTCCAGTGATGCTTATTCACAAATAAGTGTTTATACGATTGCAATATTTTCCTTATTTCCCTGAGAGCAAGTATCACCAAACTTAACAGTACTTCCTTATGGACACAGATGCACAGGATTGCACTATAAGATACACTTTCTATACTGTGTGTGCAGTAATTCTTTTTCGTTTTTTTCTCACTTCTTTATACTCCCCTACAGTTGCCAGGATTGGTAGACCTGGCAGGACTTAGATCAATATCATTAATGCCCTGGGGGAAATCTCCTTTCTGCCGCTGCGATGCCCCACTTTTATTGGTTCTTCTGTGCCCAGTAATGTCCTGCATTGCCTACAGGCTCTCTAGTGTGAATGCTTGCTGCAATGCAGGCTTCCCCACTCCCTCTGCACTGTTGTGTAGAGTCCTGGCTTGCTACAGATGCTGCCTAATGTTCCCCATCTCTGCCTTGATAAATTTTGCTTTATCCATGTTTGGCTGTACCACAGACTGGTGTCTCTTTCCTTCTGTCCCAAGTTTCCATCAAGATAATTACTCTGGTTTATGCTTTTTACTATGTAGTTGGATTCTTTCTCTGGGGTTCAGATTGAGGTCTGCTATCTCAATTTAAATTCTTGTTCTTGAAAACAGAAATCTTGTACATAATTCACACTCTTTCAACTGAGCATGCAATATTTGGGTAGCAACCCATTACCTTAGGCAGTCATTTATACCAACAGACTACAGACTACTAGCCAATACAACAGTGAACGTGACTAACTGAACACAGACTGTGTAGCAGCAGTCCTTGAAGACTGTACTCCTTTCTTTGCAGAGGTTCTGTCCATCCTACAGACACCCCATTGTTTCCTCTTAACGTGGTCCATCTTTAAATGCATCTGGTCAAGGCCTGGGTAACATCCAGAGTTTGGCTTTGATTATGTCTCCCTAGTTTTGACCTAGGTGTTCTGCCTTTTTCTTCTCTACTGCCGTGCCCCCACCTGCCTGTGGCTCTGTTCTAAACCCCTTAAGAATGGGTCTCCTAGCCCAAACCATGGTCTCTAAGTAAGTCTCTGGATTCTGCAGAGCCTCAAAGCTTTCTGCATCTGCCTCAGCATTGCCTTTCCGCTTGGCACATACTTGACTGATTAATTGCAATGGTATCTAATTCCAATCAGCTTTACAGGGGTGTGCCCAATGTCTTTCTAAATTAAAACCTGAAATTAATCAACCTAAAATGAATCAACTTATAGTACAAGGTTTTGGGGATATGTTTTTGTTGCA